AACACCCTCATCATAACAATGACTAATGAATAGTTTTTGATAAATAAATATGGGCGGTCACATGTTAATGTGTTGATAGTTCTGACATTATAACTATGATGCACTCTGAATGACCCATTTTTGCTGCTTAGTTAGCGCTTAGTCATAAACTGTACGCTTCAACAGTTTTAAACAGCTTTTTGAACAAAGTGTGAGTGGCACTAGTTCATGCAAAAATTGCTGTCACAATGCTGGTTGTCAGGCTGTTGCTGCACAGCTGCTAAAACAAAAAACAAAAACAGATTTCCATATTATGTCACTTTTAATAATCTATATCCAAACCTGATCTCTTCATTGATGGCATCTAGCTGTTCTTGTAGCATGAGGGCAAGCGTCTGGGCGTCTGAGTGCCCGCTGGGGGACAGCATATCGGCTGAGCTGAATATGGTCTCGCGGTCTTCATCGTCCAGGTCAGACAGCTCAGTGTCGCTTCCCATCAGGTGAGTACGGCTGGCCCGCAAGCTGGAAGGCTGAGAGCGATCCCAATCCTGCTCCACCATTGGCAGGATCTGGGAATAAAGACACGGATCAGGGCTCGAACTGTTATTTTGAGGATTTTACAAATCAGGTTTCCAGATATTAGTGTTTCAGTAAGATCCGATTTGCTCTAAACAATATTATTGTGATTTAGAGAACCCGGAACTTACATTGAACACATCCAATGAGGCAAAAGAAAAGAATAGAGAGGAATTAATACAGAACAAGGCCAAGGCTAGCAGTGACGTCATGTTTAAGACACTAACAGATGGAGATGTACAGACACCTTTGTGGGTTCATCCCTGAGTGCCACCAGTCGACCTTTCTGAGCCCGTCGTATGACCCCTGTGGAGGAGTAGTGATCCCCCTGACCTTCCACCACTGAGAAGCGCAGGTCTGTGGCACTGCCAACATGAGACCTAAGACAGGGTCAACAGAGAGAGACAGATAAAGAGGCTCAGACACCTTATCTAGCACACGCTTACAGCAATATCACTTTTAATGAGCAAATTAAAATAGGGCTCATATTTTAATATATTTATATAACAAAATACTATCATGGTTTTAAATCTAGATGTCACCTAGGATGTGTTCCGTCTCCAAATGCCCCGCTCCTGCGCTTCAGATGATCGAGTTCAGCCCGTAACTTCTCAATCTCACCAATAAGCCTCTCCTAAACAACCAGAAAAAAACACTTGAATAGTCAAGCAATCTCGAATCAATATAAGTCTTTTAGAATTATGAAAATCACTTTTATGAACTCAAATGAATTGAGACCAATATACATTTTTTTAAATAGATCTTATTTTTTAAAGAAATTAATACTTTATTCTGCAATGATTAAATAAATTGATCAGTGAGAGTAAATACATCTATAATGTTACAAAAGATTTCTATTTTCGAAAAAAAAGCAAAAAAGTAAAAAAAAAAAAAAGTTTTTTTGGAACTTTCTATGCATCAAAAAATCCTGAAAAATATTAACACAAAAATATCAGGTGGCACAATTGTTTTCAACAGTGATAATAATAAGAAATGTTTCTTGAGCACCAAATCAGTATATTAGAATGATTTCTGAGGGATCATGTGACACTGAAGACTGGAATAATGATGCTGAAAATTCAGCTTTGCCATCACAGAAACGACAAAACTGAAATATTCAAGGCCAAAAGCTGTTTAAAAATAATGAAAAACATAAAAAATGGTGACCATTCACAGGATATATATACACTTCTTTATACATTCATATAAATATCTTAACTTAAAATCTTGATGTTAATTAAGAAAGGTCCATGGACACGTTATGCTCCTCAGTTATCTCTTCCACAAAGCCGTTTGCACAGCACTCTTTTGTCACTTAATATTTTATTTTGGTGCATCAATCTATTAAATTACTTAGTATATAAAGCCATGATCAGCACTCAACAAAAATTGTCTTCTTTTTGCATTTTGTTCTATCTTCAGTTATCTCTTGAAATTTTAACACTGTTGTTCTTGCCCTGCAGATCTATAATGAGCAGATATTAATGAGCAGTGGAACTGTACCTTGTTGTGATGGAACTCTTCCAGTTGTTTTTGGGAATTCTCCAGGTCATGGATGAGTGCATTCTTGATGGGGGAACAAGGAAAAAAAAGACAAACAAAACAAAGTTGAGGCCTGATAACCTGCACATTCTCTCTCTCTACATGTGGTGCCTCAGCCTGTCAGCACATCTGGCCACTCATTCGGTCACAGTCTGTTCTGTCCTCTCATCTTACAGCCCAAAAGAGAAAAGAACTGGGTTCTATTCATACAATCTGAATAGGGAGCCTTTTTATCTCTGTTTTTAACAAGCTATTTCCAGAATATGGCCGTGCATTCTCTAAGATGAAGGCAGACTATAAATATGGACATAAATATAAATATATATTATTTAAATATTTTAAAGAATTAATTTATGATTTAAATAATTTCTTAAGATTAATGTGCATTAAGAAAACAAATCAACATTTATTTTTTATAAATAAAACAATAATAGATTACTTAAATAATTTGTAAGATGAATGCGCATTCAATATTCTATATTTACTTTTACATTTTTTTAAAAATAAAGTTTATTTTTCTTAGTAATTATGTTCATTAAGAAAAGGAAAAAAAACAATAACAAAAAAACTATCTGCCAATGTGGAAAAAAATAAGTAATTAAAAATATAATTATTAAAATTATTTTCTGAAAACAGCTCTTAATATTTTTATTAAGAGCTATATATATATATATATATATATTATTATTATTTTTTATTTATTTATTTATTTATTTTATTTATTATTTTTTTTTTTCAGTGCATGTAAATCTGAAATTTGCTGTTAACCCTTGCATGAATGCATGAATGTTTCACCAATCATTATTACATATTCGGGTCTTT